AAATGGTTGTATCATTTTGCATTCCCACCAGCAGTGCATAAGAGTTCCGATCTCCCTGCAGCCCCTCCAACATTTGTTATTTCCAGTGTTTTTGATTCCTGCCAGTAATGCTGGGCTGAGATGGTATCTCACTGTGGTTTTAATTTGCATTTCTCTAATGGCTAGTGATCGTGAGCATTTCCTCATGTGTCTGTTGGGAGACGGCCAGCTTTTGGGTCTCCATTCCATAGAAAGCAAAAACCTAGGGCAATACTTTTCAACCTCGACTACACATTAAAACACTTTTTTTTTTTTTAAATAAATACTAATGCCTGTGTCCCACCCTCAGAGATTATAATTTAATTGAAATGGGGAGGGGCCTAGGCATCAGCATTTTAAAAAAGCTCTCAGTAATATTCCAATGTGCAACCAGGTTTTGAGAACAACTGATGTTGAGGAATGCATAGTTAGTGAGCAATTGCCAGCTTCCTGACAGGTTTCACTACGTGCAGCTTAATGGTAGCACTCACACAGGTTTCTGATCCCTTAGAAGTCCTTCGGCAGTGTTCATTCATACTGAGATGCTGGACCAAAACTTGACACCCCAATTCTACTGCTGCTTTGTAGTTGGTAACTGGCAACTGTGTGTTCTGCTGGGGTTGGAACAGCTGTTCCTGAAGCTGAGGACCAGCATCTCACATGGAACAGGACTGGGAAATTCACTTGGCAGGGAGGGAGTTTCCATCAAGGATCAAGTCCTGTGGGTTAAGTCTCACCACAGTACAGATACATCTATTCAGAGAAGCTGGTGGTGGCTGCAGATGGCTCTTTCAATAGCACTGTGGTGGTCTACAAGAAAAAGCACTTAATGGAGGCAAAAAAGGAACCAAGAAAAAAGTGGCCAATCCATCTTCTAAGAAAGATTGGTATGACCCAAAAGCACCAGCTATGTTCAATATAAAAAATATTCAGAAAACACCAGTCACAAGGACTCAAGGAACCAAAATTGTATCCAAATTCTCTCACAGGCCATGAGTCTTGCTGCATAAAAATGATGTGGCATTTAGAATATTCAGGCTAATTGCTGAGAATGTACATGGCAAAAACTGCTTGACTAGCTTCCTTGGAATGGATCTTATCTATGACAAAATGTGCTCCATGATCAAAAACTGGCAGACCATGATTGAAGCTCATGTTGGCTTCAGGACTATCAATGGTTATCTGTTTCATCTGTTCTGTGTAGGTGTAATTTCCTATTGCTGCTGTAACAAATTACCACAAACTTGGTGGTTTAAAACAACACAAATTTATACTCTTACAGTTCTGGAGGCCAGAAGTCTGAGATGGGTCTTGATTGGCTAAAATCAAGGGGTCAGCAGCGCTGCAGTCTTTCTGGAGACTCTAGGGGAGAATCTGTTTCTTTGCCTTTTCCAGCTTCTAGAGGCTTCCTGCATTCTTTGGCTTATGGCCCCTTCCTTGCATCACTTTGATCTCTGCTTCCATCGTCACATCCCCTTCTCTAACTCTGACTTGCCTGTCTCCCCATCCCTGCTTTTTAAATTGTGCTTTAGGTGAAGGTTTACAGAGCAAATTAGTTTTCCATTCAATAGTTTAAACACCAATCGTTCTGTGACATTGGTTGTAGTCCCCGCAATGTGTCAGTACTCTCCCCATTACCATCACGAGTACCCCATTTCCATCCACCCAGTTTTCCTGCCCCTTCCTGCCTTCTCATCTTTGCTTTTGGGCAGATGTTGCTCTTTTAATCTCATATAGATGATTGTTCTAATGGGCACTTTCCTTATGGGTGTTATTATTTTATAGGCCTGTTTATAATTTGCCTGCCTCATTCTTAATAAGCACCCTTGTGATTACATTGGGTCAACCTGGATAATCTTCCCATCTCAAAATCCTTAATTTAACTACATCTACAAAATCCACTCTGTCACGTAAGGTAACATATTCACAGGTTTGGTGATTAGGACATGGACATCTTTGTGGGGGCAGGGGGCATAATTCTACCTACAACAGTGGGTTTTACACGTAAAAAAAAGTATCATTCAGAAGACCTCTTATGATCAGCATCTGCAGGTCTGCCGAATCTGGAAGAAGATGGTAGAAATTATAACCAGAGTGAAGCAGGTAAGTGACTTGAAAGAAGTAGTCAATAGGTGATTCTGGGCAACACTGGGAAAGTGTAGGAGACACTCACCAGTCTATTTAAGACAGGCATCCTCAGAGCTCAGCCCTTTTAGGAGACATCTGCTCTGGTTTATCCTCCTACACTGAGCAAAACAGGCCGCACATTCTTCTGAAATTGTGCTTGACAAGATAACCACAGAACAGGCCATAGTTGGCCTCAACTGGTTTTAGCAGGTTTTCAACATCATCTTAGCACTTTAAGTGACCTATTAGCTTATTAAATACAAAATACATATAAGCACCCAGCCTCTGGGTGGAAACTTAACATGTTAATGAAGGAAAATAGACTTCTTCCTCCATCCCAGGGAATCAAATCCTTATTTAAAGAAAATGCATAGTCATCCCCAAGCTCTGGATGCCTGCCCGAAGGTCAGTCCTGAATATTCATGATAAATTTACATTTCCTTGTCTGTTGTCTGTAAAAGCCCGCCTCCCCAAGTTGCTTGCGAGCAGTTTTGGAGGCAGGAGCCCCAACTGTTCCTTTCCTTGTGCAGCGAAATAAAGGCGCCTTTCTGATCTCCCACCTTGGCCTCTTGTTAATTGGCTGTGACGAGTCATGCCAAGCAAAACCGGGGGTTGCCACCTGGTAACATTTCTATCCTCTCCATGATGTGTTTGTTAGAAAAATCAAAATGCTGAAGCAGCACAAGTTTGAACTGGGAAAACTAATAGAGCTTCTTGGTGAAGACAGCAGTTCTGGAGACAAGAGCTGAAGTTGAAAGAACTGATGGATATGACTCGCCCCACACACCCCAGTCCAAGAATCTATTTAAAGATCAGAACGTTAAGTGATGAGGAATAGTCTTATCAGGAAACAAAAAGTTAAAATAAAAAGGATATCTTTCATCTATTTAATCTCAAAATAGTCAAGACTCACTAATCTTGAGAGAGGGATTTTTCTGAACCTTAACAATTTCCCTTCCTTGCTCATTAACACTTAGGCTGTTTTTGCGGTAACCCCCGGCAGTAGTGGAACATAAGGAGTTGTCTTCGTTTGGGGAACCCAGAAGTAGACCCTAGGACAAGGATTCAAGTGCAAGTAGATTACTTGGTAGGTAAAGAACAACTGGAGTCCCTGGTTGGCATAAAGGGTTAACATGCTTGGCTGCTAACCAAAAGGTTGGCAGTTTGAATCTATCCAGACGTGCCTCGAAGAAAGGCCTCACCATCTACTTCCGAAAAATCAGCCATTGATAACCCCCGGAGCAGTTTTACTCTGACACACGAGGTTGCTATGAGTTGGAATTGACTCAAGGGCAACTGGTACTGGTTAAAGAACCACTGGTAATGCGAGTGGGGGAAGTGACAAGGAGCAAAGGGAGGCAACCAATAGAGTAAGTTACCAAGTCAGATATTACTGTGATGACTGAAGCTCAATCCCACTGGTGAAACTATGGGAGTTAGTGTAAAACACACTTTAGATTTATTCCACTGGAGATGCGAGGTTGCTGGGGTATTTATTACAACCCATTATCGCTGGTTGAGGATTGCTCCCAGGGGGGCATTATTCCTTGATATTTCCAGTCTGCCGACAAGAGGCAAAGGACTCCAGCTACAAGAGAAAGCCCTCAGGCCACTGATGCAGATATGGCAGTTCAAAATCATGCTCTTGTGAAGTGATAAAGATAAGGGGTTTGGGGCAGGGGCACCAACAGCATCTACTAGGAGAGAATACATAACTAGCTGATCCATTTTGGGTTTCATACGGGGCTATTTTTTTCATGCACAATGGTTATTCTACCACAGTTGAAATGGCCAGGAAGAGCAGGCTCAAGAAGGGTACAACTTCAATGCTTCTGCAGTTATATTTTAGAACAGGACAAGGTGATTAATAGATACCAAGTTTCACGGCTGTTGTGTTTTGAAACATTAAATTGAAGACTACATCTTGAATTATTTTGTAAAGTGGCATTTACATGATGTAGAATGGAATGAATTTTTAAAATATAATTGACTAGTAACACAAGGAAGAAAGGCTAATAAGCATAAATTTTCACTTTGTGGACTTCCTTGTCTTCACATTCCCTCTGTTTGTTGTAGTAATAGAATGTATTGTCCCTTCTCTGTAGTTTCTTCACGTATCCTGTCTCTGGCCAACGATCTACCTGCGCATCAAAAACCAGAATACAAATATTGTAATGTCGGTCTTATTTTTATATAATATTTTACTATCAAATAGTAAAAAACACAACCCACACCAAAAACATTAAAGTGTAAAATTAAATTGTAATAACACTTGAATTTTTAGGGAAAGTATTACGCACATACATAAAACACATCCTAACTTGCAAACTTATACTGTAAAAGTACTAATTTAGTGCTTTTCTCTAGATCCCAACTTCAAGATTTAAATTTCTGCTCAGTGGCCAAGATAGAGAAGACACTAAAAATAATTTAAACTTCAATTGTCTAATGCTTTCAAATGATTTCAAATGTTATAACTTCTTCACTTCTAAAACTAAGACCCCATTCTGAAAGCACCTACTGCTGATTGTTGATGCTTGGGAAGTGTCTTAGGCTGGGTTCTCTAGAGAAGCAAAACAGTAAAACATATAAGTATATACATAGAGATATTTATATCAAGGAAACAGCTCATGTGAGTGTAGAGGCTAAAACGTCCCAAGTCCGTGGATCAGGGTAGAGGCCTCTCCCAATTCACACAGCCACAGAAGCTGGCGAACCCAAGGTCAGCAGGTCAGGGAACAGGACTCTTGCTTGCAGGCTGTGAAGACGAACGAATTCCAAGATTGACACATAAGCTGCTAGCTCAAGTCCCAAGAACTGGAGGTGAGACAACAAGAGGCAGGTGCTGAATCTGGAACAAGCCAAAAACTTTGGCAAGGTGAACAGGCAGAAAGTAACCAGCGGAAGGCAGAGAGATGAAGCTGAGCGGGTGGTGAGCTGCCACTGGCCCCGCCCCCACCAGTACCACTCAGCAGATTCCATCATGGGGGTGATCACATATCAAAGTTCGACAGAGACGTGATCACAACATTATACAACTGCTAAAACACTAAGAATCATGGCCTAGCCAAGTTGACATACAATCTTAACCATCACAGTCCACCCCTTGTCAACTTGGCACCTGTACACATCTCCTGAAACCATACATAATCTCTGAATAAAGATAATTACAAAGTCATACTTGCACCTAACATGATACAACTATCACGGGTACAATCAAAAATGCACTAGCCCCGTTTACATCTCATATTTTAAAAGTGAAGGAAACAAAAATATTAGATGCACACATACAAAAGAGAAATACTCATAGCAATTACAGTCCCCATTTCTGCAACTGGTCACGTGGCTGCAACTGGTATTTAGAACTACCTTCTTCCACCACCCATTCCGTATTCCCTTTGCCTTCAGCAAGCACCTCAGCTGGTCATGGTTCTTTGCCCAGTGGAGTGACTCAAACCTTCATTCCTGAAGGCTGTGGGCCATTAGCAGTCATGTCAGAATTGGGTTGCTGTAGTTTTCCGTTGACTTTAATCACAGGACATGGTAGTACTAAGAGACACCCTAAAGGATCTCCAGCATTCTAGACATACTCTTCTTTACTTCCATTATGTAATATCAATCTGATTTCCTCTTGGTAATCAGAATCAATCACACCAGCCAGTATGGTAACTCCCTTCTTTACCTATTGATCCAGAGGCATAAGGAGCCCAAAGTGGCCAGGTGGCATTCTTAGCTTCCAGTTCAATGGAATCAGTGATGTGTCTACAGGTGGAACATTCCTCCCTTTGGAACTAAGACCTCTAGACCTGCAGAGCATAAGGTTGTGGGGACAGGAAACAAAAATCTGGTGAGTGGGTCACTAGGGGGTAATATTGAGTGGTGCCACTCCCATTTCCACCCCTTGATTCCTGGACCCATGAATCCTAGCTATGGGAGAAACAGCACCATATATTGGACGCTGGTTTAGAGCATATACAGCCTCCTGGAGAACATTGCCCCAACCCTGCAAGGTATTGCCACATAGCTGGCACCATAATTGTGTCTTTAGAAGGCCATTCCATCATTCTGTCAAGCCAGCTACTTCAGGATGATGGGGAACACAGTAAGACCAGTGAATTCCATAAGCATGGGCCCACCGTTGCACTTCATTTGCTGTGAAGTGAGTCCCTTGATCTGAGGCAATGCTGTGTGGGATACCACAACGGTGAATAAGGCATTCTGTAAGTTCACAGATGGTAGTTTTGGTAGAAGCATTGCATGCAGGGAAGGCAAATCCATATCCAGACCGTCTATTCCAGTAAAGACAAAACGCTGCCCTTTCCATGATGGAAGTGGTCCAATGTGATCAACTTGCCACCAGGTTTCCAGCTGATCACCTCGAGGTATGGTGCCATATCGGGGACTCAGTGTTGGTCAACATTGTATGTCAACTTGGCTAGGCCATGACTCTCAGTGTTTTAGCAGTTGTATAATGTTGTGATCACGTCTCTGTCGAACTTTGATATGTGATCACCCCCATGATGGAATCTGCTGAGTGGTACTGGTGGGGGCGGGGCCAGTGGCAGCTCACCACCCCCTCAGCTTCATCTCTCTGCCTTCCGCTGGTTACTTTCTGCCTGTTCACCTTGCCAAAGTTTTTGGCTTGTTCCAGATTCAGCACCTGCCTCTTGTTGTCTCACCCCCAGTTCTTGGGACTTGAGCTAGCAACTTACATGTCAATCTTGGAATTCATTCGTCTTCACAGCCTGCAAGCAAGAGTCCTGTTCCCTGACCTGCTGACCTTGGGTTCGCCAGCTTCTGTGGCTGTGTGAATTGGGAGAGGCCTCTACCCTGATCCACGGACTTGGGACGTTTTAGCCTCTACACTCACATGAGCTGTTTCCTTGATATAAGATCTATGTATATATTACACGCTTTACTGGTTTTGCTTCTCTAGAGAACCCAGCCTAAGACATTTGGTACACATAGAGTGTGGTGCTGCTCTAACAGATACCTAAAATGTGGAAGCGGTTTTGCAATTGTGAATGGATAGAGCAGTGGCAGCAGCAATGGACCAGCAGCAGCAGAGAACCTGCAGCTGCAGAGAAGTGACAGTGGCAGAGAACCAGCAGCAGCAGAACCAGGAGACCAGTGTGAGATGGCACGGCAGCCGACCCATGGAGTGAGAGGGCTGAATGCCTGTGAGCAGGCGGCTTCCTGGCGGAGTGGGGTGCCTCCAGGTACTTATCGGTGGAGCTAGGCTTGCTGACCCATGGAGCGAGAGAGCTGACTGCCTGTGAGTACGAGGCTTTCTGGTGGAGTGGGGTGACTCCAGGCACTTACTGGTGGAGCTATTGAGCTTTGGAACACTTGCCCCAGCAGGCATATGTGGGAGTGAGGCCTGAGGGCTGAGAGGCTGCAAGAAACAGAAGCTAAAGAGACAAGGAACACAAGAAGCCAAGCTGCCTCAGTCTCAAAAGGTATGGCCATGATCTCTGGGGTTTCAAAGGGTAGAGCCATGGCCTCTGGTGTTTCTAAGGGTGGAGTTGCCGTCAGATGGACTGGGAGAATGGTGTACCTAAAGCCAAAGGAGCAGAGTTGCTGTCCCAGTGGGCCTGGAAGGTGGAGCTGAAGCCCAGGGACAAGGGGCTTCCACTCAGAATCTGGAGGCTGTGGCCAATACCTAGAGTCTGGAGGGCAGGGCCATTGTATAAATTGTCTCGCAGAACAGAGGTTCATCTTCAAAGCCTCGAGGTCTAATGTAATGTGTTCTGCTGACTTGCTTGGTGCCTGTTATCCCTTCTTCTCCGGTTTCTCCCATTTGTAATGGAAATGTCTAGCTTGTGCCTGTTCTGCCATTGTACTTTTGGAAACAGATAACTTGTATTCTAGATTTCACAGATGAAGGGGAATTTTTGGATTCTGGACTTAAAGTTAAGACTTTTGCTATGATATGGAATGGATATGTTTTGCATGTTGCAAGGATGTGATTTTTTGGGGGCCAAAGGGTGGAATGTCACGGATTGAATTATGTCCCCCACAAAATGTATCAGTTTGGCTGGGCCATGATTCCCAGTATTGTGTGATTTTCCTTTATGTTGTAAATCCTGCCTCTATGATGTTAATGAGGGAGGATGGGCGGCAGTTGTTAGTGAGGCAGGACTCAATCTACAAGATTGGATTGTATCCTGAGGCAATCTCTTGAGATATAAGAGAAGCAAGCAGAGAGACAGGGGGACCTCATACCACCCAGAAAGCAGTGCCAGGAGCAGAGTGTGTCCTTTGGATCCAGGGTCCCTGCGCAGAGAAGCTCCTAGTCCAGCGGAACACTGATGAGAAGGCCGACTGAGAGAGAAAGCCTTCCCCTGGAGCTAACACACTGAATTTGGACTTTTGGCCTACTTTACTGTGAAGAAATAAATTTCTCTGTTAAAGCCATCCTCTTGTGGTATTCATGTTATAGCAGCACTAGATAACTAAGGCAGTGACTAAAAACCTAAGACATAACTATAGGTGCAGATGTTTTTCCTCATGGCTAAATTTCAAGTTCACCTTTAAATGCAGTTTTTAATAGAAATTTGAAATCATGAATATAGTCCTCAACAATCTTTTCTCATCTTCTCCCCACTATTCTTTCTTGTATACCATGTTGGTTTCCTTACTTTATTGTCTGGTGTGATCTAATTTGGACATTTTCCTCTCTTCTCCCTCAAAAGTCAAGTTCCACCTTCTTAATTAGGTCAATGCCTTTTTGTTGTGAAACATGTACCCTCTGGAATTTGTGAGATGCATTCTATCACTGTCAAAAACCTATTATTTGGGTAACAGGAACAGTCTAGAAAAGCAAATGCTATTCTTCAACACCATCTGTCTATACAGTTTTGACTTTTCATATTCCCCACTAATAAATCACAGTTTTCAACTGGAAGATGAATATACTCTGTCCCCACATCTTTTATTTTCTAACAACACATTTTTTCTTCTGTTGACTCATGTATTTATGAATCAGTAAAAATAGGTAGCAGCACGCTGCATAAACCATGGCAGACTCTCGGACAAATAAATTATGGGAAAAAAGCAACCCTTTCTGTCAGTTAAGTCATTCCTGCTTTTTGTTGCTTCCACTACCCCAAGTAGGGAAGGGAGGTGTCCTCAAGTCTCCATCATAGCTCTCTTCCTCCAAGGGCCAGTAGCAGGTACTTTTTCATTTACCAGGGTCCAGAAAACCATCTCCTTCAGCGAAGCAAGTACAACTGCTGCTTCTTCAAACCATTCAGAACCATCTTACATGAGATGAACCTCAAAACAGCTAGACTGGTCATCAATTTCTAGACATTTTCTTTTATACCCCTTTGCCATCTCTGAATCTTTTTAGTCTTGGCTTTTTACTTGATCATTCCCATTCAATCTAGGAAACTTTCATTCTTTAAAGTATCGTGGAGTGGAATGATATATTCAAATCCAATGACCCTCTCCTCAGGTGGGGAGATCATCAAACACTAATCGCATTCGTAACAGGTGCATGCTTGAGATAAGGAAATAAAACGTTGTTCAATCCCTTCAGACCACTGTACACCTGGTAGAGGCATCCCAATCGAGGCAAGCCTTCACTCATCATGCTTTTCACACCCAGTCTTTAAGGTCCACTGCAAATTTCAAACGTTTTGGGTCATGAAGCCTTACTGATGATTGTCCCAAAGGAAAGTGATTTTCCTGTCTCTAAATTCCTGTTGTTCTTCTTTTAAGGTATATATACTTTGACTTGCATAAGGTTTTGTTGTTCTTGTTATCTGACTTCTACTCTAAGTTAATGGTAATACTAACACAAGCTGCCATTTATTAAATACTTACCATTCATTCACTTCACAAATTATCTTTACTACTACAATGCTGGGCATTTCAAGCACATGATTTCATTTAATTCCTGTGACAATCTTCTAAAACAGGCACTGCCATTGCCATTTTATGGCTGAGAAAATGGAGGCTCAGTGAAGTTAAGAAGTTTGTTCAAGATTACTCAGCTAACAAGAGGTAGAGCCAGGATGCAGACCCTGGAGAGTCTGATTCAAAGCTTGCATTCTTCCTGTTGGCCCACCAAATTTCTTGAGGTCAGGGACTCTCATATTTTCATCTCCTAAAGCACTTAGCATAGAAATTTCCACATGGTACTCAATAAGTATATGCTGAACTGAAAAGCAAAACCTCTCCATATTTACCAAGTCATAAAATGAATGGGACTATTCTATGTTTCATAATACACACATATACACACTTCTTATTCACCTCTTGGGATTTCCCCTTTAAGAATGTTCTTTGTGTCCTCTTAAATCTGATTTTATCTGAATAACAACATTACTGAGGGTGGGGCGAGAAGAACACAAAGAATGTTGCGCTTTGCACTGCCGATATGATCCTGGGTCTTGCACATCTTTTAGAGGCATCCCAATCTCAAGGGTAGGAAGCTTATTTTTAAACACAGCATTAAAATGATAATGCTTGTGTTTTACCTACTTAAAAGCCATAGGCTTTACAGTAATGAAAACTACCTTTAGGTAATGGGGACAGAGTAAACTGCTAGTTTATATGAGAAAGAGGATACATGAAAATCATAGTAGTCAAATCTTCATTTTGATCAATGTTATAGATTGAATGGGATCCCCCAGCAATGTGTGTCAATTTGGTTAGGCCATGATTCCCAGTATTGTGTGGTTGTCCACCATTTTGTCATCTGATGTGGTTATTCTATGTGTTGTAAATCCTACCTCTATGATGTTAATGAAACAGGATTAGAAGCAGTTATATTATTGAGGCAGGACTCAATCTATAAGATTAGGTTGTATCTTAAGACAATCTCTTTTGAGATATAAAAGAAAGAGCCAAGCACAGAAACATGGGGACCTCCTACCACCAAGAAAGCAAAACCAGGAGCAGGGCGTGTCACTTCAACCCAGGGTCCCTGCGCTGAGAAGCTTCTAGACAAGGGAAAGATTGACAACAAGGACCTTCCCCTAGAGCTGACAGAGAAAGCCTTCCCCTGGAGCTGTTGCCGTGAATTCAGACTTCTAGCCTCCTAAACTGTGAGAGAATAAAATTCTCTTTGTTAAAGTCATCCATTTGTGGTATTTCTGTTATAGCAGCACTAGATAACTATGACAATCAATATTTTTAACTTCATCTTCACCAACTCTAACGTACCTATCAAATTAATGCCTATTAAAGTCTATTAAATTTTAGCTCGGTATTGCTCCTATTCCTTTTCCTATCTACTTTTTTAGGAAGTATTAAGTAGAGACCAAAGGTAGAATAGAATAAAGGAAGAAGAAAGAATATAAAAATCTGAAAAATCCATAGATGAATTAGTCTCTAAAAAACTGTGTTAATAATAAAACATAACTGGTGGGAATGCATAATGCTACAACCATTTTTGAAAATGATATGGTGCTTCCTTAGAAAGCTAGAAATAGAAATACCATATTATCCAGCAATCCCACTCCTAGCAATATATCCTAGAGAAATAAGAGCCGTCACACAAATAGACATATGTACACCCGTGTTCGCTGCAGCATTGTTCACAATAGCAAAAAGATGGAAACAACCTAGATGCCCATCAACAGATGAATGGATAAACAAACTGTGGTACATACACACAATGGAGTATTATGCAACCATAAAGAACAATGATGAATCTGTGAAGCATCTCATAACATGGATGAATCTAGAGGACATTACGCTGAGTGAAATAAGTCAATCACAAGAGGACAAATATTGTATGAGACCTCTACTGTAAAAACTCATGAAAAAGTTTACACACAAAAAGAAAAAATCTTTGTTGGTTATGATGGATGGGAGGGGTGCGGGGGGAACTAAATAAACAATAGATAAGTGGTAACTTTGGTGAAGGGTTAGACAGTACACGATACTGGGGAAGCCAGCACAACTTGTACAAGCAAAGGTCATGGAAGCTCCATAGACACTTCCAAACTCCCTGAGGGACTGAATTGCTGGGTGGAGGGCTGTGGGGACCATGGTCTCGGGGCACATCTAGCTCAATTGGCATAACACAGTTTATAAAGACAATGTTCTACCTTCTACCTTGGTGAGTAGCGTCTGGAGTCTAAGATACTCCAGTGGTCTCACCCCTTCAGGAGCAAGGGAGAATGAAGAGAACAGGATATGAGGAAAAGATTAGTCCAAATGACTAATGGATCACAGCTACCACGGCCTCCACCAGACTGATTCCAGTACAGCTAGATGGTACCTGGCTACCACCACTGACTGCTCTGACTGGGATCCCAATAGAGGGTCCTGGACAGAGTTGGAGAAGGATGTAGAACAAAATTCTAACTCACAAAAAAAGATCAAACTTACTGGCCTGACAGAGACTAGAGAAACCCCGAGAGTATGGCTCCCAGACACCCTTTTAGCTCAGTGGTGAAGTCACTTCTGAGGTTCACCATTCAGCCGGGGATTGGACAGCCCCATAAAACAAAACAGGACTAATGAGGCACATCAGTCCAGGGACAAGGACTAGAAGGCAGGAGGGGACAGGAAAGCTGGTGATAGGGAACCCAAGGTTGAGAAGGGATAGTGTTGACATGTTGTGGGGTTGTTTACCATTGTCATAGGGCAATATGTGTACTATCTGCTTAATGAGAAACTATTTGTTCTGTAAACCTTCATCTAAAGTACAGCAAAAAAAAATTTCAAAAAAAAGTTACCATCTAAAAAAAATAATAAAACATAAAATTAAAAATTTAAAAAACTGTGAGTTAATTATAAATACGTGGTTGCAACTTCAAATCTAAAAATTAAAACACATTTATAAATATTGGCATTTTCTATAATATTCTTAAAAATTCAATCTCTTAGTGTCCAGTAGAATAAATAAATTTTTAAAAATCACATTATAAACCCGTGCCATGTCTAGATTTAGATCTAGTCTTTGTAAAGCAAAACCATGTCTCTAACCTCTCAGGAAAGCCTGGGATACATAACGAAAATCAGAGCTTGTTCTCCAGTAATCTCCAAAATAAACACAGAATTTAACCCCTTTCCAATTCATGGTTAAAACAGAAACGAACATTTATAGGATAGAAATAATAGTTACACAAGAAACAAGGAAAACAGAGATTGAACATCAGATAACAGAACCACCCAAGTGAGGGAAAAACACTGTTTTTATGGTCTACCATAAAAGGCTTACTAAACAGAGCACAGATGCTTAATTAATAAAAGCTAGAAAATTCTGAATGATTCGAAATTGAGGGACCACCCCTACCCCAATCTGCCTGGTAAATCACTTTTCTGGGCAGCAGTCAACTCATTAATAAATCGAGAGAGCTGGAGTAGGACCCCCTTCCGGTTAGTCTCTGGTTCTTTGTTTTTTAATATTTTTCATTATCTTACAAACTCATTTTGAGTTCAAGTTTGTAGAGGCATAAATCTTACCACAGAAACTTGTTTCACTTGTTTATATTCAACTTCATCCCGATATCCTGCCTGTTGAAATCGGTACAGATTTTCTATCTCTTCTGACCACTTTTTGGCACGACTTATTGATTTTGGTTTCACATCTGAACTAGCCACAGCTACAGAGGTCTTATTACCAGTTATTTCTGAAAGATGTTAAAACAATGTTAATATACGGTTTTGAAAATCGCTTTAAGAATGAACAAAATCATATAGAGCTAAGAACCACACCAAATACGTTAACTTTTTAACATTCAATTATAAGATTGAGAAGGATTCATGGTCTTTTTTTTTGGCGGGGGGGAGCCCCTGAAAGATACCATAGAGAACTGCTTATTTCTCAAATAAAACTTCATTCATATTTATGGAGTGATGTCCTAAATGCAGAATGTACCAATTGTGGTGTTCTAGGTAACAGTTTGCACATTTCTGAAAAACTCTTATTTTTAACTGCTCAATAGATTATCAAAATATCCCACCACCATTCCATTTGATTATATTCAAAACTGCATCTCCTTTTTCTTAGGAAGGAAATGTAAGATCAGTCTTCTCACTCTCTTCCCTTTCTTGTTGCTGGGACACAATGGTTTCTTCTTTTTCCATTTCTTAATTGCTTGGAGACATCCAAATCACTGCAATCCATTGACTCAGGTCACTGTAGCACCTGATCCTGTGATAGACCAATAAAAGAAGATAGACTAACACAAATTCCATGAAAGCTATATGGCTGTTATGATACTGACATCATTGATTTGAAAACACTGTGTTGTTGTTGTTAGGTGCCATTGAGTCGGTTCCGACTAATAGGGACCCTATAGGACAGACTAGAACTGCCCCATAGGGTTTCCAAGGAGTGTCAAGTGGATTTGAACTTCTGACCTTCTGGTTAGCAGCTGAGCTCTTAACCACTGCGTCACCAAGGCTCCAGAAAACACCATAGGGGGTCACTAACAGTCCTTAAAATTTAAATAGTCAACTCTAGTTCACATAATTGTCTACTCACCAAACTTCTATAGCCAGTTTTTCTAAGAATAACCTTGTATTTGTTTTCTCAGCTACTTATTTTGTTACCAAAATATATCAGTTATTTAACTAAAATAAAGTACACAGAATTTTCATCACAATTCCCTGAATTCACTTTTCCATTAAAATATATTTGTATTGGCTGAAATACATTAAAGTCAAACCTCATAAAGTAGATCCTGTAAATGAATTCATATTTTTCTATTTTCTTCCAGTTACAATGATAAAAGCTCATTATGTTAAAAAAAGGTCATGACATGCATTAAAGTACAAAAAAGAAAAGAAGGCAATATAACCACCATATCAATTAGAAATATTCATCATTAACATTAGGTAAACATCATCCCACATGCATGACAAGTTATAAGAATAGACTTAAAAATTTTTATAAAAAGGTGTTTTACAATAAATGCTTTAAAAGTATAATAAATTTAACTTTACCTGGATTTGACGGAAAAAAAGAAAGAAAATGGAAGTAAAACTGGTAGAATTAAATTTCAGATAAATGTTTCTCCAGTGTGATAGGTGTAGCCTGAAAGTTCCCTCATGGTTAATAAGAAAAAGATAATGAAGAATTTTAGGAGGCTGAGAATCATTAGTTTGAACTCCGTGTTTCAATTACACACGGGAACTGATGGACCCTTTTCTATGAAAAATAAGGAAATTGGTCTTATGCTTCCCCTCACCTCTTCTAGATTTTTGTTACATTATTTATTTAACATTGTAAAACTATGACATGTACATTCTATTTTGAAACCGTAATTCCCATAGTTGTTTGGATTTTAGTTCTAGATGTAAATGAAATCATTTGAGTCAAACAGCTCTTATCTTACTGAAAATAGTAACTACCTAAGTGAATATATTACTAGAATTGTTTTCATTTTTCCAATGTAGATACCAACATATATATTGTTTAAAACTAAGAAAATTAAAGATGTTGTTAATATTTAACTTTAAAAAACTTGATTTTCGCTTGCTTCAGCAGCACATATAAAAAAATTTTGATTGTTATTCATTAATTAAATACTGCATGTTTAAGACACTTAATTGTTCTTATATGAATTTCTGTAAAACTTGGAATACCTGACAAAATAATAAGTCATGTTTCCGTGAAACACTTGTCCTTTACTTCCATTCATTTTAATGAGAGGTTAGCTGCTTCGCTGCTGCACAATATACTAGCTATGACAATAAATGATTCGGACATATGTGCTGTGGTTGTTGTGTGCCATGGAGTCGATTTTGACTTGTAGTGACCCTATAGGGCAGAGTAGAACTGCCACCATAGGGTTTCCTAGGCTATAAACCTTTATGGGAGCAGATCGCCAGGTTTTTTCTCCCGTAGAGCTGCTGGTGGGTTTGAACTGCCAAACTTTTGGTTAGCAGCCAAGCATTTAACCATTGTGCCACCAGGACTCCTCTGTGGTACATCTTGATAATCCATTTTATATATATATGAAATTTCCTATGGGAAAAAGATGACACTAAGGAACTTGAAAGAAAAAAGAAATGCTAATTCACTGAATTAAAATACTTTCAAAATCAGTCATTTTTATGTGAATTAACTGGCTTATTAAATTGCTGTGACAGATAAAGTACATTTTCTAAAAGCAGTGGTACAGTCTTAATTTTTGTTTTACCCAAGCCCTTTCTGCTTTAGCGTTGGCTTTCTGAAATACAACTGTGGTGTGATGGATCACTTCTTTGTGGCCTTTCTTGCCATGGCCTTGTAACTCTCACCCAAGTGATTGGGTGGGACTGTGCAAATAACATAATTTCAGCCCACCAAGGGGATTGGTCAGTTTTGCCATCCCTCTGGGCTTGAAATGAGCCATCCAGAGGTGGGAGAGAAGAGGATCCCACCACCGCCAAAGAAGAACAGCTAGGAGTGGAGCGCACCCTTTGGAGCCAGGCCCCCTGCAATGAGAAGCTCCTGGAGCCAGAAGAGATGGAGCTGTAACACTGAAGATGGAGAAAAGTGGTGGCAGAGAAACAGTGGCAGGAGAAACTGGCAGGGAAGACCAGCAGGAGATGGTGTGGTGGGCTTCCTGGCCCACAGAGCGAGGAAGCTGAGTGCCTTTGGGCAGGAGGCTTGCTAGCAGAGTGGGGTGCCTCTAGGCATTTATCTGTAGAGCTAAAAGAGCTTTGTAACACTTGCCCAAGCAGGGCAGAGGCCGAGGGCCAGAGAGGTGTGCCAGTGGGCACAGCTGGGAAGAGGCTGTCCTGATAGAACTGTATTCAGTGTTCTTGAACCTGAATTATAACCCCTTACTTCCCTAGTAAACCCCATAACTGTGATTATTTTCTGAATTCTATGTGGCCATTGCAATGAATTATTGAACCCAGGAGAGAAGTAGAGAGTGCCGTGGGAGGGATGGTTGGTGTCAGAATTGGTAAAGATGGTGGAGAAGGGGAGGCATGTCTGACCTCCATCTCGTAAGAGTCAGCCTTGGGTCATTGATCTTGATTCTCCTTCCCCCTTGTGAAGTTAGAGGAGGTCAGACTGCCTCCATGCCATTTTTACAATACTAAAATACTTTTATTTACTTGCATTCATTCAAAAAGTATTTTACTGAATGTCATTTATGCAACCTTTCATCACTATTATGTCAATTACTCGACGCTACATATAAAAATGCTACATTTTACTAGAACAGAAAATATGCTGCATTTACTGGGACTACTGGGGAAATAATCATCTTTCTTGATAGAAATAAAAATCTTCTAGATATATCTGACTTTTCAAAACTATTTTCTTTCTGGACTAAACAGATTTCTCAAAATACCTAAAACATGTGAACCCAATTTTCACCATATCAGGAACCCTAGTGGCTATTATACGAGCCCTGGTGGTACAGTGGCTAAAGCACTTGACTGGTAACCAAAAGGTCAGTGGTTTGAAACCACTAGCAGCTCGGCGGGAGAAAGATGGGACAGTCTGCTTCCATGGAGATAAAAGCCTTGGAAACCCTATGGTGTTGCTATGAGTAGGGATCGACCCGACAGCAGTGGGTTTGTTTTGGCTTTAATGGCTATTATACCACACAGTGGTGGTGCAAATTCCATACATGTAGTCTCTCATATCTTTAAATGTATTAACAACACAAAATGAAACTTAAGTTTGGAAAGATCAACTGACAATTCATTATTTCAGTGGTTCTGGGAAATTCAGTGGCAGTACTAATTTGGCTAGTAACATTCAACACACTGAAACTTATTATTTATTGACTGTGTTGGCAAAAAATAATTGATATAAGGGTTCCAGCAAAATGGCGCTCTAGGCAGAAGCACCACGCCGTCCCTCCAGAGCAAAGATCCAAAAAACTAAGCCGAACAGAGAATACAACAATCCTGAAACCCTAAAACATCAAATGAAGAGATAAAGAACTCAACCAAGCACCAAATGAAGTGAGAAAACTGACAAAGAACGGAGAACGAGGAGAGATTCATGCAGAGGTCCCCTACCAGCTAATGCAGTGCGGATCCACCATCTTGGACTCCTACTGGAGACCAGCAAACGAGGTACAAGAAAGCAGCCTCACGGAGCGTCCAACAGGAGACAAAACAACCGGTAATTTGTGATATACGCTTTCCCACTCCCCACTCTTCTTCACTCAGACTCGCCCTCCTCTGCTTCCCACGGCCACAATCTCTTGACTGGGAAACTCTGGCTGCTTGGATTCCACACACCCGAATGGGCTGGCTCTGTGAGTGCCATTTGTTGGCTGCTGGTGTTACTTTTTACCGCTTCTTTTGATTTCTTTCTTACCTCTCACCACCTCCCCCTCCTTTCGCTCAAATACCTGGCTCCGTGTGCCATCTTTGCTTCTTCCTGAGGGGCTGCAGAGCTACAGTAATTTGTGATATACGCTTTCCCACTCCCTACCCTTCTTCACCCACACTCAGCGCCCTCTGCTTCCCGTGGACACAGTCTCTTGTCTGAGAAACACCAGCCGACATTAGCTGGCTCTTTGAGTGTCATTTGTTGGATGCTAGTGTTGCTTTTTTTTCTACTTCTTTTGATTTCTTCCTTACCTCTTGCCACCTCCCCCTCCTTTCGCTCAAATACCTGGCTCTGTGCGCCATCTTTGCTTCTTCCTAAGGCGCTGTGGAACTCCGTTCAAGTGTGGAGCTGCTGCCCAGTCTGGGCTGCTGTGCTGGTGGGATCCAGGGGCTTTTGTTTGTTTGTTTGTTTTGAATTGTTTGTTTGTTCTCTTTTCCTTTTCTTGAGTTGGGAGCCCTTTCTGGCCATGCAGTGCTGCATGGCAAGGAGACTTCCCAGTCGGCTTGCACAGACGTGCAAAGGGATCCCTGAGAGCATTTCTTTTTCCATTGGGTTTTTTTTTCTGTTTTTTGGGGGGCCTTTCTGTTTTTGTTTTTTTTTTAATTTGTCTTGTTTTGTTTTCCCCTTCTTCCCTTTTTGTCTTTCTTCATCGCTCAGTTTCTCGTCTCTCTATATCTTCCTTCTCTTTCTGTTCCCTGAATACCTGGCGTTGTATACCTCTACGGCTTCTAGCCAGGCTGTACTGCAACACCTGAGAGCGACCTCCCCAGACCTCATAGCTGCACCAGTGGGATCCCTGGGAACTTTGTGGTTCTTTAACCTTTCCGATTTTTATTTATTCATTCCATTCTTTTCTTTTCTTC